TTCAAAACATCAACATGGTGATTTAAACAAAGATTGGCATATTGAAAAAAACATGGAACAAATTGCAACAAGATATAATGAGGTTAATGGTCTCATTTTTCCATCTTTATTTGACATGATTTCAATAGATCATATTGTTTTTGATGAATTACATGTTCTTCTACAAATTACAGATAGACTTTGGGAATTAATGCTTGCGGAAATCCAAGAATGTAATTTATTTAATAGTATAACATGAAAAGTCATTTTAGACGAAATGCTGCGATTGAAAGTACCTTTTCAATTTTGGGAAGAGGAAAAATCTCATGCATGGAAATATACATCTCTTGTGGGGGATGACAAAAAAATTGTTTTGCAATTTTTTAACTTAAAGTTACTTTTTAAACCTTCTTGTGCACAATTAATTCGAAAACTTTGGGATGAATTTTATAAATTGTATTGTGCTATTCGAAATAAAAATACCAATCCAGCAAAGTTAAAGCAACAATCACTTGAATGGTTATCTTTATTTCTCACACCATCACAAGGAAATCCTTCTTGTCCAAAAACTTTTATACAAGGATTATATATGCCAAGTCAAGTAACTCCTTATATGCATGCATTAGTTTATCATGGATGGGAACTTTTAGAGAAACATCAAAGGTGGGGATTGAAGGCATTTTCTTGTTCTGCTGTTGAAAAAAAAAATCACAATCAAGTTTCAACTTTTTTTCACAAAACACTTAAAAATGGAGGTAATTTATCAAAAAGAAAGTCTGCAATACAAGAAATCATAGAATATGAAAATAGAACACTTTATTATACTTATAATACATTACCTGAATCTCCAAAAATCAAAAGAGTCTGCATTAAATAAATAAAAAATTTTTCTTAATATATAATAATAATCATATGAGCATAATATATTACATACTGTATCTATTTTTATATAATACATTATTTTAAATGTAATAGAAGGACTCATACACAATCAATAATAAAACAATAAAGGGTTTAAGTTTCAACTTTATTCAATGATTAATTAAAGTTAATATTAATGTTATAATACAGATTTGTATACTCCATGTATATACAAAAAAAAATTCCTATTATTTTTTATTAAATTTATAATTAAACCTTCTACATAAAAGATTGTGAAATATAAAAATAAAAATATATATATCCTGCTATACATATATTTTTATTAACTTCATTTGATATATGTTTTTTCCATTCTATTAAAATTTCACCATGTAAAAATTGTGGCTGCCTAGCTTGTTTTTTAATTAAAGATTGTTGATAAATTAATTGTTCAAGAGGATGTACTTCTTCTTCTGATTGGTTATGTGAGGTAGAAGGATTCCATGGAACAGGATCTAAGCACACAACATATATTTCTTGATTTTGTGAATATACTTCCCCCCCATTGATTAGAATTCAAAATTTCACTTATAATCTCATATGCTTTTTCACCCTGAAAAATACACTTATACTTTCCTTTTGTTCTAGAATAATAATGAATATTCCCAGCAAAAATAGAAAAAAAAAGACTCTCAGGACATGGTACAGATACTAATTTCTTTCCCATATACCTAAAATTTAAAACCAATTTTTTGTGTATTTCCATAGTCAAGATCTCTTTAAATTCTGCAATAATATTAGTTGGCAATCTATCAAGATCTTGATGTTGATTATATTGTTGTATTATTCTATTGTATTGCATTAAACCACATAAGCTTTTAAATTTTTTTCCACAAATAGAACATAAAAAGCAAGTATTTGATAAAGGAGGAGGTATAGAGAGATGCATAATAGTGGAGTGTAAGGAAACATTGACATGCTAACAGGAGAAAATAATTATTATTTAATAAATAAAAAAAATAGTTACTAATATCCAAATAAATTTTTTAATCACCATTTTTTAGAAAGAAAACTCTTTACTATTATTAATATAATTGAAGTTATTGGTTGTTTAGTATTTGGAAAACTATGCAGCTGATGCTTACAATAATAAACTCGCGTTTTAAGTTTTCTAGTATTTGCAGCTGATGCCCACAATAATAAACTCGCGTTTTAAGTTTTCTTTGTTATTCTATGAAAAATATAACTGTTTGATAAAGTTATTTAGTAAATTTTTAAATCGTAATTGCGATGTTATTATTTTTTCTTACTACTAGAATCCAATGGGTTTTTACTTAGTGTTTTGCTTTTAACAAGGGTAAACTTTAATGACATTGTCCCTGTCAACCAATCAAAGCCAGAGAATTGTGTCATATGATGACCTTATTTGGTTTCAATTCTGCAAATCGGCCCATATGTTATTTTTTATACTTCGAATTAATAACAAAAACATGTCTTCTGAAAATCTATACATAAAAATTGTAGAATATTTAACCAACTTAAAAACTGAACATATTATGGCGGCCTCAGTTATTTATCAAGGGTTGGAAGATAATCCATGGATTAACAAGGATGAATTAAGAGGTATTGTAGGGAGGGCAGTAAATTTGGTAAAAAACATATTGGTATACAAGGGAGATTTTTTATGATATGGGAAGATTACTCAAATAATGCTACAGGTGAATTATTTTTTTTTCTCTTGAAAAGTATTATAATATCAAATGCTGAGTAGCTCAAATAGTGATACCATTCTGAGGAAGCAAACATAATAGTTTAAATTTCCTATTAGCCTGCTAAAGGGATTATCCTGGATGGCATGGAGGATATTTATGCTATAGATAAATGTTTTGTTTCTATGTAGTACCACACAAAGTTTCATTTGTGTAGCAGGCCGTACTGGGTGATGGCTTTGTATTATTCTGATGACTGTGCAGTTATATATTTTTTTTTTGGTTCATCAACTATTTCTAACTTATTATACATATCTACATTAGTTCGATGTTGCTTTTGATAGTGTTTGCAATTTGCAAGAAATCGGCATTCTAAAAATGGTACGTTGAGACAAGAGTAAATAAATGATTAAAATGGTTTGTAATGTAATATTATACTCATAGAATAAGGAGAAGCCTCTCACATTGGAAGAAATTAAGCGCAATATAAACTTGTTGAAGGGTAAACTTATGGTAAATAATGCATTATTTTTACCAGTATAAGTTAACTCAAGATTTTCATGTAACATTACTCACTATTTTTTCAAGAATGGTACATCAGCACTTTACCAACAATTGGTTACTTTTCTAAACTAAGTACCTGAATCTGATTTAACCTGGGAATAACCTTTAGCTAGCCAAGTTATTAGTGATGAATCAAGTATAGTGGAACATTTACCAGAAAAACTGCAAAAGAAATTTAAGGTATATATAAAAGTCAGAACTAACCTTAAGACTAGACCCTGATTAGGTGTTATAATCAACTAATTTTAATTTGTTTTAATGCTAGAAACTGGTCGAAGATATGGTACCTTCAACATTCCCTTCAAGTATACAAGAAAAATGTTACAAGTTTGTATTGGACTTCAGAACTTGAAGTATGTATAGATTACAACTGGGTTTAACACATAATGGAAATTGGAAAGAGAGTGATGAAAAGCTAACAGAAGTTGCAATGAAAATTTTAGATGTGTTAAAAAGTATTTGGTATAATCCAGCTTTCAGTCCTGAATATTTCTTCTGTCATAATTAAGTCTTGGGGAATAATTTACAGGAGAATTAAAATAATTTTCTTTATTTATAATTTTATTAAAGATTGTATCAATAATAATATAATTGTTTTCTTGTAGTGGGCAGGAAATTAGATCACACCAAAAGCAAGTTGTTAATATTAAAATAATTGTATGATAAATTACTTGAAATTCATTTATTGTAATTTGCTAACATTTTATCAGCTACATCTCTTTTCATTTCTGCTGAGTATCTAGAAACCCAATTATGTATAGTTTCTACCTTAGGAATTTCATCATGAGAAAGTTGGGTATTATGAACAGATTCTTCAATAAGTTCTTTATGCATATCCTCCAGTGTAAACCTTTGGCACTTATCATAATAATATGAAGCAAAAATTTTCTACTATTTAGTTCAGTTAAAATTGTCATGCCTAAACAAATAGGGTAAAATTCTGAGCCATTTTCAGTAGAAATTTCATGCCACCAGTGATGAGCAAAAGGTCCATAATAATTATATAATCAGTATTAAGCAAGAAATACCTAATCTAGTGCTATTAAAATCTTAACAATTGCAATTGTTCAGATATCTTATTGTGTGCACAAATTCTTCTTTTTTGGTGTAAAATACATTGATATTAACATAACCAACTTTTCTTCTGTGGTTGAGTTTGAATGGAGTGCCTTAGTGATTTGTACTTGCTGTCTAGTGACGTCATCTGGCTGATTAGTTATAGTGCAAGTCACTTTGTTGCTCAACTTCCTGCGCCACAACGGCAAAATAAAAATTTCGTGATCACGCGACTTTAAAGTTGAGAAGGCGATACAATGTATCAGATAAAAAATTGTTGCATTTATCCAGTAGTATTTTAAGATACACCTTTGTATTTAATGATTAAAGGATTGTTAAAATTTTTTTTTAATAACTTCCAAATCAACTTTATTCCTCCTGAAAATAATTTGAAAAATTATTTAACATTTTAGAAAGAGCAGGTATGCCAAACAAAGTCCATGAAGTTAATTCAGTCTCAATTTAACAATTTTAACTGCATCGTATATATTGTTGACTGACCCAGGTATTACCCAAGTGGTAAGCCAGATCCAGTATTGATGAAGTGTTGTCGAAGGTTGAGAGGAATCGAGCGTTGCTCTTTTCTCATCAAGACATTGGTCAAAAAGCCAGAGAACGATTGAAAATCGATACCATTAGCCCGTCATAATGATGAAGCCATGCGCCCTAGTCATATACTAACTATATCAATGGTCTAAGGAAGGTCTAAAGATTATCTTCATACCAAAATCAGTACATAAACATTGTAAATCAATCGAAATCATAGCAAAATCGATATCAAGATTCCTTGGTCTAATGGTCTAGAGATGAAATCCAAAAAGTGCTGCTCCATAGAATGTAAATTTTCCAGGTTTATCCTTGGCTTAATGAACCAGACTATTTTACTACCCAAAACTCAAATTCGATACTTTCTTGGTCCAAGAGCTAAATTTAGACTAATCCCTTGAACTGAATTTTTACTGTATCCACTAGCCATTCATGCCAAACCCGTTTATCTACTGTGCCTCGAGTCACGTGATAGCCATGAACTTCCTCCCAAAACCCTGGATTAAACTTCACGAGGTTTAGGATAACCATAAGATATGTCCAATAACCATTCAGATATTTGGCTGAGAAATTGAACCATAAATATTAAAAATACAAACAGGAAAAATGAGCAAACCGTTAGTTATACCTGAAAATGTATTCAGATACCTTCTTACTACAGAGCAGTCGTACTAGACCAGAAGAAGGCTTTACCATAATCGAAGTGAGGTTATATAGTAATTTGAAGTGGTCTATGGACGATTTCAGGCTCTATTGCTCTATTAGTAGTATGAGTCAGACGACGCGATCGACTGTTGAAACGAGGTACAGAAAGAAAATTATTACTATATTTAGTTAGTAATTACACAAATAATCCAAATTAAAACACCATTTAATATTAATATTCCGTGATACTTTTACTTTTTAGAATTATTTTCCTTGAATTATTTTCCTTGAATATTATAAATTTATTTTTAAACTGTTAGATTGAATATCATCTATCATCTTAGAGATTGCAGAAGAGTTTATAGACTTTTATCTTAAAATAAGCACATCTTAATCATGTATAAAAGAACCAAGGATTCGACTCACGCAGGTAAGAATATATATAATTCCAAAACACTATAAATTAACAAATTATTAAAATTATTAATAGATTATATTATCAAATAATATTAGTTATTGATAATATTAATAATTAGTCTCACCAACTCTTTTGAATTACCTAAACAGTTTCGGAAGAGAACCTACTTTGAACCCAAACCCAAACTCATACCTCCACCCAAGCTAAGAGTTTCAGATTATATCATTAATACTAACTATCGTTTATTTCTTTGGCCAACCTAGGAATTATCGAAAGTCCATCATAGCTTTTATAAATAATTGACGTAACTGGCAACGTTAAAGTAAAGTCCATCGTGAGTAGATTATAGCTGCCATAAAGAATTGATGCAATTGACAAAACTTGAGAGACTAGATTAGTATTAAAGACATATATATATTTGAGATTAGATAAAGAGACAGAATAATAATAATATTACGCACTCTTGTTGAAACTACAACTGGCGACGACACATCTATCGCACCTGTTATTATAAGAAAATTACTTAAATTATTGATATAAATTCTATCAGAGACAAGGATAATTAATAAAATCTATCTTACATAATGTATGTTTTTAATTGAAGCTAAAATTCTTTTTTTGAGATATTACTTTATGGGGATTTTTTGTCAGGAGAAAATAAAAAAAAATTATTTTATTGCCCCAAAATATACAATTTTAGTAAAGCTTAAAAAACATTAATATCAACAAAATATAAAAGAATATTAGGTTAATCTAACCATAGTTGGCTTGAAAAATGCAATTTAATTTGCAAAACAGAGATCTGTCGGAGCTTAATTCCGAAAAAATCAAATGAAGATTTGGTATATTTGCTTTCCAGGGAGTTCCGGAAGCCAACTGTCTATGCTATATAGAAAGGAATTTGGGGTGTTTCAAATTTCACAAATTTGTCTATTTTCTTGCCAAACTGGTATCAAATAATAACAACGACTCAGTTTCAACAATTTCTATAAATAAACTGATGTGTATTGTTCACAATGGAGATGCAATTCCGAAGAAAAATCATAATTTATATTTAGTATTAAGTTAAAATCGATAAATAATGGCGTTTTATTCCATTTCCGGAGAAGTTTATAGGTGACATTATTGATTTAAAATACCGTTTTTTCAATGCCTATATTTCGATCGAACACATCTTCCACTAAGGAGAAATTCTATTTTCTACATAACCGAAAAGCCGTTTCATTTGAAAAACCCGGAATTAGAACTAATTATACTTGTTAATTATTATTTACTTATATGCAACCATGTTTAATGCTAATATTGTAATGTTCATTCATATTGATACTAATAAAAATAAATACATTTCTTTATTAATTTAATTCATTCTTCAAAAAATCATTGTAACGTGACACTATGTATTTTCTAGTATAGAAAAAGAAGATTTTATGGAGTTACTAATTTATACAAAATAATAAAGTAATCCATAAAATTTGTACAGAAAAAAAATTATAAATACCAAACTTCGATCCATTATTTTCACTCCAACTAATAAAAATGTTATGACATATAAAACAACCTCTAAATTAAATCATTAACACTATATTGCAAAGCACATCATTTTTAAATGATGGTATAATTGAACTAAAAAATACAAATTGACATCAACGACAACAACAACAACAATAATAACGACATGGATCAAGAAATATCTAAGGCTCCTCAAAAATATTATATAATTCTTTGGGCCTCGAAGAAGTATTTGTAACATTGATAAAATATGGCGATTCTAAAGTCGTGTATTAACTAGTACTAATTTGGGCAATCTTCAAAATTTATTGGATTCAAGTGTAACACAATTCCATAGTTTCGGTCGGTCGTATAAATAAAAAACGTCCAAAATCGACGACCCCATAGAAGTTTCAATTGATTGCCAAGTAGAAATGCAGTACTTAACTGTGAAGAATAACCGGCCAAAGATGGATTTGTAAGGAACGAGCAATCGAGCATAATTTCGGAATAATTAATAACAGTCAGTAGAGATTCCGTACAACTTTCAACTCCGCACACCATTCTTTTTTGTTCCGTACACTTTTTATTTTTTAATTTTTGTGCGGAATTTGTGAATTCTGAAAATTGGTTGACGGGGCCAGTCTGTACGATCCTCAATTCCATATTTTGTTTCATACAGAGCATGATTTACTACAGAGGCGCAGATAGACTCAATTAATAATGCTCTGGAAATTGTGTTCAATTGCTTGTTGTTTTCAGATCCGTCCTTGGCTAGATACTCTTTACATCTAAGTATTGCATTACTATTTGGTAACCAATTGAGTCTTCAATGGGATCGTTGGTCTTGGAGGGAAAGGTGCAAATGTTTTATTTGGGCCTGGGTCACTTTACCGACAGGACACTTTACCGACAGGACACTTTACCAACAAGACACTTTACCAACAAGACACCTTACCGACAATCAATAAGGTTTCTAGCACAAACTGTTTCTCAAAGCTTGAACTATTTTGGCAATTTGGGCTTTTCAAAGTTTTTTATATGATAAGGGTGTGAGTTTTAACATTCCAAATCATTACTATTTTTTTTTCATAAAATTCAAGAAATTATGTTTAAAAGTATTCAAATGCGAGAGAAAGATTTAATTATTTCATTTATTTAAAAATTAAAAATAAATTCATCACAATTATAATAAGTCAATTAAATGTTAATAAATAAATTTAATAAAAACAATTAAAAATAACATGAAGTCCGAATATGCAATTTTTATCAATTTTCGTCAGACAAAAAAAAATATATTACACATGTATCTATATTGTATTTTATGAACCGGTTTTTGATGTAAAGTATGGATAATAGGTTGTGTTATTAGTTAATGATTTGTAGGGCAAGGTCAGTACTTGATTAACAGTTGATTTAACTTGTCTGTAAAAAAACCAAACTTTTAGCTTCTACATGGAGTTATCCAGGTCTTCACACAGTTGTTAACGCAATGCTTGTTGGTAAATTGTACTGTCGGTAAAGTTCCCTGTTGGTAAAGTGTCTTGTCGATAAAGTGGTTGTCGGGTAAAGTGGACGAGACCACGTTAAAAAATTAAGCATAATGAATATTAAAAAATTTCAATCCGGAATAATGGTAATGATTTAGAAGTACTGTACTGTAGATGAGATTTAATGCAATATTCGTAAACAATTCGGGTTGGCAGGTAGAATATCTGAATGATCTATGAAAATTATAAAAAACATAAAAGGCTTTGTTGTTATTGTTGCTGGATTAATGTCATTGGTTCAATCTGATCATTTACTATTATTCTATTACTTTTGGAAATCAAAATTCGGTTTATGATGATGACTTATAACTATAATTACTGAATTAGTATTAGTATTATTATACTATTCGTGTTGTATATATTTATTTACTTTAAGGTAATTATAAACCGAAAGACGAATTTGAATTTGTTTATAAAATCTTAAGTTCAGTTTATCAAATTATATTAAATTCGGCTTAACAAGATAATGTGTTTTTGGTTAACCAATTTTGCATAGTTATAAAGCGAAAATCGGTTTATGGTGGTTCATCCTATCGAGGTTTGACTGTATGCAGTTCATTCTCTAACGGACCATATTGGCTTACAGGAAAAAAGTTTGTTATACATTCTCAGTCCGTTATACAGAGAGTAAGCTGTATTCGAGTGGTTTTGTATCTTCTTTTTTGAATTATAATTGCCCGAAATATGATTCCAGCAGCTATTTATTGCATTACGAAAGAACCTGTTTTCGATTTGTATATTTTCTTCGTCCAATTTGTTCACTAGTGCTCATTAGATCCAGCAAACCTTAAATTTTTAATAGAAATTATTACAATAATCATATTATTTTATCATTTTATTCCTTTTCTTGATTTGATTACTTGCTACACACCAATAATACTGATACTGCTCGCCAACATTAAATTATCGAGATATCATAATTAAATTAAGCATAAATATTATTTATTCAAAGTTTTGTTTGTCTATTATCATATTGACTGGTTTTTTCATTGTGAGCAACTCAAGCAAGTCTTTCTGTAAAAGAGAGAGACTAATTACAAGTCACTGGGCTTTCCCATGAAAAGGATTGGTTTCTCATTATTTAAGTTCCTTGCTAATATCTTCAATAAATTGAGCTTCTTTATAATCATTATCCCTATCTTTAATTTCATTATGCAATTATTATTTTTTAAAAAAAACGCTTTTATTGTGCTGGTCAATTATTTTTCAGGGTACACTTGAGCCAAATATTAATTAATTAATTAATTATTATTATTATTAAATTTTAAACTCCTTTCCATGAAAAAAATAACAAAAAAAGTAAAGCAATTTATGACTCCAATTGGTTTCAAAAATTCGCCAGCTCCAATTTAATCTATTAATCATAAACCAATTGGTAAAGTTCTCCTTTTTTAAAACTTCTAGTTCTTCATCTCTTATTCAATGTAACATTATAAAGCCAATTAAATCAATTGATATACATAATACTAAATGCTCTAACATCCATCATACATAATAAGCAAACTAAATTTCGTTTTCTTCTAGCAAAACCTGTTGATTGATCTTGTTATTCAGAAATTGTATTAATGTTATTGATGTTGATTTTAAATTTTAATGTACTAAGAAATTTACATAATTTACGTGATGTGAAGTGGACAATGGTGATGGGATAATTGTTCAAGCAATACAAAAATTTTAATCACAATTCTAGTGAAAATAATATAATAAAAAAGATTATCAATTGAATTTCCAAGTCACGCATGCTATGATGGAGCCTGAAGATCCATCATCATAACATACCTCCCACTTCAGGCAAGAAATCACCTTGCCCTGTGCAATAAAAATTGCTCAGTTAACAACTGCAGGGCGTGGTAAGGCACAGTGAAAAATACATTACTAACTTGTAAAGATTTCTACAAAACGACTGCATTGGCATCCTGGTATTTGATTGATGTAACGTATGTCCCAGTCACTCCCCCATAAGGCTAGGTTACAGTTCTAGTGTACTAGAAGGCAGTAATGAAGAAGCTGAAGTTACTCTCCTAATATTAATAACGAAAAGAGCTTACTTTGTTGAGAATTTTAGCATTGAGAAAAGTCATTTCAAATCTTTCGTAGAAACATTAAATGTCACATGACATACTAACTAGACCATCAAAATTTGAATTTCTTCCATTAAATAATGAAATTATTTAATTGATTAATTGTATATTTATGTATTAAAAAATATTAACAATTAAATGTTAAATATAGGTCCAGATGATTCTATAATTATATTTGTGGTTATAATTATACTCGATACCCACATCCTCATTTAATACCACAAATGTCTCTTGTGAATGCCAAAAATTTCAAATAATGCTGATACACACACTCCATTGCAACATCGATTGACAAATATATGATGGAAGGCTTTGAACAAGTGAGAGATTTAACTGGCGTTGAAGTTTGGCTGTTATCCGACCAACATCAACCAAAAATGACCAAAGTGGTCAAAAGAAGCCAAGACTGTGAAGAATTTGTTTTAAATTAATGATTTTCCACGAATTGTCGCTGTAATTCATGATCCAAGTGCATTCTTTTTAAAAGAGTCGTCCCATTAGCTTGTACACAGTGATTCACTAGTGGTGGTTGGCCAATGGGCAGCCAAATGCCAACACAGTCTCCTTGGCAATGATGCGATTAATAAATTTCTAAACCACGCCCCCTGAAAATTTAATTGCATCATTGTATCATTGGGATGCAAGTTATATTAGCTTTATTTGCGCAAGGAACAAGAGTATTCAAGCTTGAAGTAATAACATCTTCAAAACACACTACAAGTTTCCATCCATTGATCAAACGTTGCATATCGAGTTGTTTAATTGTCCATGCACGTGCAGATTTCCATGAGAAAGAGAGAGATCTCCAACAGAATGTTGGTTTTCTTACATTTCTTATAATCATTTAATGTAAATAATAATCACACAGAGCAAATATACCACCCTCCCTCCACCAGTTGGCATCAGCACAAAAACGTACTAAATTTTTAAAAAACAGAACTTGTACTACACAAAAAATTTCATGTGCCTGTTGTAATTGGAGTGGGGTGAAATTCTGATTGGCTAATTTGAATTTCACATATGTGAATTGCGAATTCACATAATTTCATTTTCACGTACAACATGCCTAAAGATCGTGGTAAGTATTATCAGAGCGAGGAACTTCTCTAGTTTACGAGACCAGTCGGTTTCTCGGTCTCGTTTTTAAGAGACATAATTCTCTTAAAAAACATCAAAATGGTGACAGATATCTTGTTAACTCACAAAATACATTTTATATCCTTAACACACAAAATAAATTTGAAAGGTTTTTCATATAAAAAAAAAGATGACGCAAATTTATATGATTTATGATAATAAATTTTAGTTCGAAGGAACCGTCTGAATAGCAATGTGAGGATCCTCGGAAAAGACCCCGAAAATAATATATATGTCAGGATCGAGTAATAAAGATCTTTATATTAAGTGAAAACTATTTTTCATAATGATTAATATATAATAAATACATGAAATATTTGAATATTATTGCCTAAAAGAGTATTAATTATTTTTTCTAATAATAGTTATCTTGGTAATAACAATATATTAAAAGAAATTATATAAAATTGTCATATCATATCTTTATTGATTGGTTGTAGCAGCGGCAATTTGAAACGGGAAGGTTAGTTGCATTTGGTATATTAACAATCTATTCATATATTATTTGTGTGTTATAATAATATTATAGTTTATATTTGAACTTGGTTAATTGATACTTATTTATATTTTAAATTATGTAGGTTACAAACAGGATATGAAAAATAATATTTATATATTTTTGAGAATCTTCCATCCATCCCACCCCCCACCAACACGCCCATATTTTCCGTTAGATTTGTGAATTATTTAATTTTATTTCTTAAATAATTGAATTATAATATCAAATAAAATTTTATTGTGAAGCCCAATCGCGTGGATTTTTTAAGACCTCAATTAATTTTTCTTCAATGCTGTTTTTCTCAGGTGAATGCATATATTCCCATCTGGAAGTCAATGGCAAAGACATAAAAATGCTTTCAATTCTTGCACCAGGAGTTTGTAACCCAAACTTTGTGCCACGATCCCACAACAAATTAAATTCTACATAACGCCCTCTACGTATTTGTTGCCAACGTTTCTGCTCCTTGGTGAATTTCATGTTCATTCTTCGTTTCACAATTGGTATATAAGAAGGCAAAAGTGCATCACCACATTGTTTAACAAATTCAAATATTTCTTCAGGTTTTTTCTCATCTAAATCATCAAAAAATATACCACCTACACCACGTGCTTCTTCGCGGTGTTTCAAATAAAAGTATTCATCACACCATTTTTTAAATCTTGGATAATAGGTGGGATCATGAGCATCACATGCACCTTTTAAAGTTTTATGAAAATGAATTGCGTCATCTTCATAAAGATAACATGGTGTTAAATCGGATCCTCCACCGAACCACCATATAGATTTACCGGTTTCCGGATTTATAATTTCAAAGTAACGATAATTCATATGTATGGTTGGAGCATTTGGATTATGAGGATGCATCACGATTGAGATCCCAGCAACAAAAAATGGATAAGGTCCTTTTGTAGGATCAATCTCTCTGTGTCTTGCTTTCATCTGATTTGCTGCTGCTGGTGGTAATAAACCATAAACCACTGAAATATTTACACCGGCCTTTTCAAAAACATTGCCATCTTGTAAAATACATGAAATTCCACCACCACCACTTTCGTTACTACGTTTCCATTCATCAATCAGAAACTTCTTGCCATCAATTGATTCAATCTCTGATATTATTTGTTTCTGGAGAGATCTTATGTATTTTTCAAACTTTTCATCCATGTGCAAATCTTTAACATCTTCATCATTCTAAAAAAAAACAAATAGTAATTATTAATAAATATATTATCATATAAGGTTTAGATGTTTAATAAATTTACATATTACTTTCAATGATCCAGTATTTGCAGGTTTACATTCTACTTGTTCTATAAACTTTTTTAAATGACAAATTGATATAATTAATTGATTTATAATTTTGTGCAAGTATATTGAAAAAATAATTTTTCCTACCTTTTTAAAACAATTATTAATATCATAACGATTGCAATATAAGGAAAATCCTACTGCTGCTACTCCAATAAATAATATTTTTTTGTTTTTACTGTTCTTGTAATGGATAGTATTGGTGATGGAAGCAATATTATTTATTGATCTTTTATTAATAATAGTATTAAATTTTTGTTGAAGAGATTCATTGATGCTAAAATTTTTGCTAAAAGGTTTTAACAAACTTGAGCTTCTCGTTGTGAAAAATTTTTTTGCTAATAATGACTTGTAAAACATTGATTAAAAAAATCAAAAAAAAATCGTGTGTAATTATGAATCTCAAAATGATGTATGCATGCATATGAAATTTTGAGAATATTTATTATTTATACTTTTCAAAGGCTAAAAAGATTATTTTATCCTAACACTAAAGCTTATCCCACATTCGAAATCTTTGATTTAAAGCTTCTCACGTGGAGACTTACTTTGATTGCTTTGAATTTACAAACGGCTTTATCGTTACTTGTTTTATTGGCAACGAATTATTATTATCTTTTTTAAGAATAAATGTGGAAGTTTTTCCTGCTAGTCTTGCTTGATATTGACTGAATTAAAAAAAATTTTTTTCCCAATTAAACTATAATAAAATAAATTATTTCTCGTCAAAAGTTGCTAATGATAAATTGCTGTCTTTTTTTTAATCGTAGATAAATATAAATTAAAAGTCTTAAAAGCAGATGTATAATTTTTTACAATTATTATTATCATTATATTATTATGTATTTTCAAGAGTATTTACTGTGATACCTTTTATTGTTAAGTTGATAATTTTGTGATATAAAGCAATAGAAACCGCCAATATATAATATTATCATAGATGTTCTCTTATCATTATTTTTTAATCAAAATTAAAGAAATACTATGCAAAAAGCAAGCGAGTAAAAAACATTCGAGAGGCGAATCGGTTTGTTTTTTATTCATTCATTTATTTATACATCCCAGATCAAAGGTTAATTTGATCGATTAGATGTTTTTTTCAAATCTAGATCACCATAGAAGAATGAGCTTTACAAATTTCGATTGTTAAAATAAATAAGATTTTTTAACATAATTTATTTCTCCGATAAAACATAATAAAGTGATGATTGATGTCATTTTTTAAAATTAAATGAATATTATGTGTGCGTGTTAATATGTGTATATTTAAAAAGCTTTTTACCGCGGGTGAAATTTTTCCATTTTAACATTAACGTTTACAGATAATAAAATATTATTTATTCTACTACTACTTGCTACTAGTTTTTTTCGTCATTATTTCTGTCACTAATACTAAAGCAGTTAAATTTTGATCGGCACAAAATATTATTATTCTTTTAAAAAAATATCTACGAAGTCACGCAATTTTTGATTTAATATTAACATTAAAGGAAAGAGACATTTTCTGGTTGTCCATGATAATGCTGTGCCATAAAAATTTAATCAAAACCTTTTTTTTTAACAAAAAAAAATCTTTAGGTAAGCTTAAAGTCAGCTGATAATAATAACCAAAGCATAAGCCGAAATAAGCTAATAATATAAGCTTAAGCTTATGAACGTATCAGGGTTGGCAAATTGACTGGTGCATTGAGAACAGATGGATTTTGGACTGGTCCATTGCCATTAATAAAATACTAAATACAGTTAAAGTGTTACACTAATGGACCCAATAGACCACCAATGGACCATCAATGGACCGCGTATTTGCCAACCCTGGAACGTATATATACAATCATTCATTTTTAATTTCGTGCAATCCAAAAAAAGTTATCGAAAATAACTAATTAAATAATTACGATAAGGCTACACCAATTTTATTTGTTTGCTAATTGGTTTATTTAACTGGTTCAAGCAACGTGATCGATCATGTTGCATAATAACATTGCTGATCTTTTAATTGAATATGTGGGTTGATTGGTGAATTGATATAATTAGCACATACTTTAATAAGAATGACATCATTAGGATTATTTATTTATTCTTTAATAATAAATTTAATATAAAATCAAATGTTTCATAATGTTCCTAATGCGCACATATCATATATGCATATTTCTTTCTTTCTCCTCTTATGAATCGAAAAAAGTAAAGGATCACATTTTTTTGCTGGTACTGCTTTATCATATTAACAACTGTATTTCGCTTCTTGCGTTGTAGATGCACCTTTTATACAAATGCAAAATCAAATACGGTATCTGCGGTAGTTATAAAAGCAGTAGCGAATTACATTATATACTTGCTACACCAAAAGTTTTGCCAACGATAATAAGAGCTATGTGCCATGTTGTAGCACCAACACCCAATTATTGCAAAACTCAACATCAAATCCAACACGATTTTTTGAACTGGGAAAATGGTATATTTTTGTCTAAATGTGTGATCTTTTTTGATTTATATGTACGACCAAATTTAGGTGATGAATTGTTTTGAACAGTTGTGCTATAATTTGTATAACAGCAGAAACTTCAGTTTTCAACATCTTTTCAATCATTTGAATGATTTAATTTGAACACTAACGGTAAACTTGATATAATAGGTATACATGTTATTAGAGCAAGTAATAGTCGTAGAGTAGGATTCTCGTCAGCATCTACACCAACGGCAATAACAGTGGACTTACAAGTAATAATGATTTATTTGGACATTTCCATTCTTGGAACATTCAATTTATTGGTACAGTGATCTGGCAGCTCCACATATTACTGTTATTATTGTTCTGAAAATTAATGCTCTAGTCTTCTAAAAATGGTCAAAGATTACTCGATGCAAGTACCAAAACATCGTTGTAAATCTACTATTAAATTCGCTAACACAAAATAGATTCTCGAATTAGAAGACAGATGATTATTTTTTTTAGAAATTAACAATCATAAATGTTTAATTCATTTGTTTGTTTGGATTACATACTTTCTTAAAAATTATTATTAAATAAAAATAATTAAATTTAAATTTTCTATGCGCGCGCGATAAATAATTTTATTGAAAATGTCCAAAAAAATCGAATGTTGGTTTGCACAAAATTAATCGTAAAAATGTGTAAATTTTATATAAATATACTTGATTTTTTTAATCAATTTATTCGTCGTCTTTTACTCTTTCCTCCCTCTCTCATCATCTATTAATATTTAATATCATTAATACACAATTTTCCTTTACAGCATAATCCTTTTACCTTGGAAATTGGCTGTATTCACCCCATTCATTCTTTTACATACTATATAAAACAAATATTATTTATTTATTTAATTAAATAAATTCATTCGTTTTATTTTATTTTAAAGAAAAAAAATATTAAACCAACACACAAAATGATTCCTTCCAAAATTATTTCAATTGCCACGACATTATATTTGGCTTCACTATTATTTTCAGCTATTTTAGTCAGTTCAGCTAAAATCGAGTGTACCAAAAATACTGCCAGTTTAGTTAAAAAATTCAATGTAAGGAAAGATAGATTTGTGGTTTTGCTTGATCATAAAAAAGGGTCATCAGACCTTGCCCAACATTTAAAATTTTTTAAAGAATGCTGGGGTATGGATTCTGAACCAGCTTTAAATGGCAAAGTTTCAACCAATAAACTTTCAAAAGATAAACTATCACACTTTTCTGTTGGTGTTCTTAGTGGTTATATTGGTTTTTTTAATCTTCCACTTGCTAAACAAATTAAATTGTTGTTGCCTAACGTTAAGATGGTTCAAAAGGAATCGAAAGTTAAGGCGTTTGCTCCTATAACAACAATTACTCGATTGACTAAATTTTTCGACTTGGATCTTTTAGATCAAAGAGATCGTAATTTGGATGGAAAATTCCATTTTCCTAGTCCAGCTGGTCAAGATGTAGATGCATACGTGATTGACACCGGTATAAATAAAAATCAAACAGAATTTGGTGATCGTGTTAGCTTTGGTGCTGTTTTTTGCGCCCCATGTTTGGCAAAAGATGATAATGGCCATGGCACCGCAGTAGCAAGTCTCATTGGTGGTAAAAATTTTGGTGTAGCGGAAAAAGTTAATCTCATAGCAGTTAAAGTACTTGATGCAAACGGTTCTGGAACTACTGTAAATGTTATATTAGGAATGTTGTTTGTATTAAAGGAAAAGTTAGAAAAAAATAGAAATGTAATTGTTAATATGTCGCTTGGTGGTGGGAAGGATCAATTAATAGACTTGGTAGTTAAAACTCTTACGGATAATGGTGTACATGTCATTGTAGCTGCTGGTAATGAAGGACAAGATGCTTGTAATACCTCACCTGCAGGAGCACCAACAGCAATTACAGCGGGTGCAACTGAAGATACAAGTATGTCAATCACTAGTTTCTCAAATTTTGGACCTTGCGTTGACATTTTTGCTTCTGGTAGAAACGTTCCTGTTCTTTTCAAGGATAGATCTACATTATCTGGTACAAGTTTCTCATCTCCATTAACTGCCGGTGTTGTTGCTGTAATAATCAGTACTACTGGTAATCTTAGTCCTGAAAAAATGGCCGAAAAAGTAATTTCGGAAAGTACCAAAGATGTTGTTGAAAAACTGCCATCAGGCACACCAAATAGATTCTTATTTCTTCCCCAAATTTAAAATTATTATTGTTGGTAGATAAATATATTTACTTATATTTCTTATTTTTATTACTTTTATTTGTTTGAAAAATAATTGTACAAATTAATTATTATTTGATCGTGTACTTTTTTGTATGTAATTAAAAACAAGTATTTATATAAATAAATAAATAAATAAATAGTATATATTTAAAAAATATAATAATTTGTTGAAAGATAATGAACGAAATTACAAGGAAATATGAGACCCAACAACATGGCAGCACAATATCTTTTACATCATAATAGTTATATAGGACTCCAAGTGCACAGGCCCATGATTCACCCAACACACTGTTAATGTTACTGTTGATGATGTACATTAAACTTTAAATAAATAATTCTTTCCTTAAATTTATATAATAATACTTATGATCTATTTTTATATATAAGTTTCAAACTTTTACTTTTTAGATGAGTTTGTTAATACTAATACTAATATCATCAACAATGGAATGAATTGGTCGGGACCAATGTTAACCATTGAGGAATTCTTGATTCAGATATGAGCAATAAGGAATAAGAAATAAATAATAATAATAATAATAACAACAACAACACATACACTTCATAAGATTTACTATTTATTAAATGATTTTATATCTTTGGTTTTTTTGCAAATTTAATTATTTTCTTTATTTTTATATTTATTTCTATTTCAACTTGTATTTGAAAATTATCCTTTTTACGCAATCATGATATTTCATAATCAAAAAAGTTAAAATGTAGCCTGTGTCTCAGGTCTCAATCAATCATTATTTGGCTACTGAACAATAAAAATGATTCCTCCATCAAAATTGACAAATACCACTTCAAGAACAAAAAAAAAATGTTCCTGATATTTCTCTTTTTTTACATATTGCAAGGTAATTCTTCGGTTAATGCTAATATTAATATTAGAGTAAAAACATAATCCCAAAAAATAAACCACTTCTCGTGATGTAATATGATTATAATGTCTCCTGCCAAATTTTCACATGAAAAATACTGGAAGATAAATCTTGATAGAAGTATATGATAAATGATCTCAGAATGTCTTTTAAAGTTTGCAACTTGATAAGTGACCCAAGTGAAATAATTTGACCACATTTGCAAATAATTTTTTTTACATTGACAAATTCTTGAAAATTAGAGTATAATGAATTCTTTTATATATTCTTTTTTTTTTTTTTAGGTATGACCTAAATACCAAAATAATGAGGTAAAATTATAATGTAACCCAAGACATTTTCATTTGCGAAATCAATGTAATCGAGGACATTTTTTTCGAATTATATAAAGGTGGTGATGACCTAATCGAATCTATGGTGGATTTTTTTAAAGTACTTTCGAATCATAGTGTTGGTGGTCACATTCAATAGAGTTTTCCTTGTCCCTGTCCTTATATATACACATTTACCTGGTTTTTTGATATTAAGATATACAAATAATCTATGTTGATCACTTTCAAAAATTTTGTTTTACCAAAAAATTGAAAATGAACAAAAAGGTTATTCTTAATTAAAATATATATGTATTTTAATCTCGTTCTTTAAAATTGTAAACAATAATTTTTCGCATTAAAATTTACATGTGTGTATATACGTAATCATTAGGTACTTTTAATGGGAAAAAGTGGGTCAGGAAAGACTTCAATGCGTAGCATTATATTTCATAATTATGTTGCCAGAGATACAAGACGTTTAGGAGCAACAAGTAAGTAAATAAATTATAGTTTTAATCTTATTGTTATCTAATTTATTATTATTATGAATAGTTGATGTTGAAAACTCTAGAGTAAGATTTCTTGGTAATTTAGTTTTAAATCTTTGGGATTGTGGTGGGTGAGTGAGTATTTATAAAAAAATAAATGCTGCTACTATTGTTATAACAACATGATATTAATATTTTTTGATAATAATAATATTAATTAGTCAAGAGGCATTTATGGAAAATTATTTTGCAACACAAAGAGATCATATTTTTCGTAATGTCGAAGTGTTAATTTATGTGTTCGATGTAGAATCTCGTGAAATAGAACGTGACATGCACTATTATCAAGATTGTCTTGAAGCAATATTGGCAAATTCTAAAGATGCAAAAATTTTTTGTTTAATACATAAGATGGATCTAGTACAAGAAGAGCTTAGACATAAAGTATGTAATAATAATAATAACAATTGGTTTATTTAAACGTATTAAACCGATTAACTTTAATATAAATTTTTTTAAAAAAAAGATTTTCACTGACAGATTTAATGAGCTTAAAACACGATCAGAACCATTAAAGATCACCGCATTTGGTACATCAATATGGGATGAAACACTTTACAAGGTAAAATTAATCAATTAATTTATTAAATTTATGCGTGTATCTATCTATAATATGTATACTCATTTCATTAACTGTATATAGGCCTGGTCTTCTATTGTTCATTCTTTAATTCCGAATATAAAATTATTAGAAACACATTTACAAAATTTTGGAACTATTTGTGAAGCAGATGAAGTTGTATTATTTGAAAAGACTACATTCTTGGTAATTTCCCACTCGTCAAGAATAAATCATCCAGATTTGCATAGATTTGAAAAGATCAGTAATTATATGAAACAATTTAAATTAAGTTGTAGGTCAGTTTAGTCATCAAGTCGACCAATTAACTAGCTAGTAAAGTAATCCTTTGATCAATTAATTTTTAATGCTAATATATATCTTCAATCAATATCATATTATAGTAAATCTTTAGCACAATTTAAAAGTATGGAAATACGGCAAGCCAATTTTGCAGCTTTTTTTGATGTGTTAACAACTAATACTTATGTGATGGTTATTATGTCTGATCCAAGTGTTGGTAAGTTTTTTTATTATTTAAAGTTTTAATTCGCTTTTTAATTTGCTTAATAATAATGATGATGATAACAATAATAACATTTTTTAGAATCTGCAGCAACGCAAATGAATATAAGTGTAGCAAGAAAGCATTTTGAAAAATTGGAATTAACGCATATGACGAGATAATTGTTTGTCAATTATTAATATAATTAATATTGATCTTCTAGTATTTTGTATATTAATATTAAAAATTTTTTTATAATTGCATAATTACTATTTAATAAAATTTCTAATTATTTATTATTTACTATTTTTTTTTAACATTACTAATTTATTTTTATATTATATACATGAATGAATAAAAAAAATTTTACAAAATACAAATAATATGTCTTATTCTCATATTCCGTTTTAATTCCACAAATGTCCTATTAATATAAATGACATCACAGAAAAATCCGGATTGCTTACTCAACTGATTGCTGCTTTTATAAAATAAACCGAACATTTACGGAGATCACGGAGATATAATGGAAATATTCTGGAGTGGCATTTTTTACAGGGCTGAGGATTCTAATGAATCAATTTAATGACATGATTTTTCTGCCTTTATTTTTAATATTAACAAAGTTTTTTTGTTGATATCTTGCAACTTCCAGAAAATTTTGTTAATATTAATGTGTAAAAAATGCCCGACCCTAATTACTTTTCAGGATTAATTCAGATGACCTGCACCAAGAAAAAAAATTTGTTACACGAAATTTAGAAATGTATATATATATTAATATTAATAATAAATTATTTTCAAAAATGCTAAGACAACCAATTTTTAGTCAAGAAAAATCTAACCCGATAAGTTTCGAAGCTAGAGTCACAAACTTATTATTTTCATTTTTGAAATATTATAACAATTTTGTTTTAATATTTTTAAAGACATTCGGCTCCTAATTATGAGCAACTTTTAATTATAGACGATCTGCACTGTTATTCCCCGAAATAACATGCCATTCTCAAAGAATTTACATTTTTAAATAAAATTAATAATATTATTTAAATATGGGAAAATCCAATAGTAAACTTAATGCTGATGAACTCAATGAGCTTCGGAAATGCACTTATTGTAGGTGTATAAATTATTCAATTCAACTCGCCTTTTTTACAAACCAACTATATAATTAACTAAAAAATATCTCATTATTTATAAAGTTAAAACAAATGAACTTCAAGAATGGTAAATTATTCAATCATTTAACCAAATAAAATAATTCATTTAATAATAATAATTATTATCATTGTAAAAGGTACAAAGGATTTCTCAAGGATTGTCCCAAGGGTGAACTTAGCAAAGGTGAATTTCAAAAAATCTATAAACAATTCTTTCCACATGGTGATCCTTCAAAATTTGCAGATTATGTTTTTGATGTATTTGATCAAAATAAAAATGGAAAGGTTGATTTCAAAGAATTTATATGTGCACTATCAGTGACTTCAAGAGGAGCATTGGATGAAAAATTATCATGTGAGTATTTTTTTGTAATTGTATATTTTTTTTTCATTTGTACAATATTCATCTAATGATATCATTATATATAAT